AAGCTCCTCTAATCTCAATCGCGAATTCTTGTCAAATAATCGAAGCCAAAATTAGGAAAGCTCCACACTAACAAGTTTTATTTCAATTTTTGTAATGCGTCACAGATTTTTTCTTGTCCAATACAGGAAAGCCTTTTGTTGCTTGCATTAAATAATCGCGATGTATTCGCGCAAGTTTGTTCTCACAGATAAGTGTGCCGCGCGGAAGCTAATATTTAGTTTGAACTAATCGATGCGAGATCGGCAAAGTGTTACACGATTTTACGTATTTTTAGTCGCTCGACCCAGAAGGTCGAGAACGTGATCGCGGTAGGTTTTGCACGTACAGAATCGCGCATGTTTCGTCTTTAAGCGATCAATCGAGCCGTTTATCGAGCCGACACGATGCCAAAACACAAAAAGAGTTTTATGTAATTTATTGTATTTAAATTTATTCTCAGTTTATTCGCGAAATCTCTCAGTAAAAAAGTAAGCAAAAAAGATGCAGCATCAGAGTTACAATAAACGTCTCTTCAATTTTTTGTTAAATCTTGAACTTCAGTAGCGTTTATCCGATAGATTCATCAATCCAGACAACTTTGCAATTCGATGATTCAATCGGCAAATAAATGAAAAATAAATTGCTTTAGAAAAGTCTCTTCCTTTCTCTCTTGCGCGCAGAAGGAAAACAGCCAGCGCACGACGAAAAGTTCGAAGCGTGTTCTTCCTCGCTCGAGAGCAGGAGAGAGAGAGAGAGAGAGAGAAACCCCGAAGCAATAATTATAATCGAATCAAGCTCTCATCGAAGAAGCGCGAGACTTTCCTCGCTATTAGATAAACATTGCTTCTCGGACGTCAATTACTCATCACACGAGAAAATCCAATCGAGCGGTTAATTAACATTTAATCGATAAGGCAATCGACCAATGGAACTAATGCGGATGTGGAATACGGCATGGTTGCACCACGCTTCTATTTGACCGCGAGGTAAACGGAGGTGCGCGACATTGGAAAGTCCGGTGTTGACCGATGTGCGACGTGCGTTTAACGCAGTCGCACTTTTTTCCCCGCAACCGACTCTTTTGCGACTCGCGCTCTCTCCGATTTCAATAACGCACGTTCTAATGCGTTACCGTGGACGCCGGAATTCCGGTCTAACGAGTATCTCGGAGACCCGAGTCTCCAAAGGACGTATTTCCTGAGTGCGAAGTCTCGCGGGGAACCGTCGAAAAGCGCGGATTTAATTCAATTGAACTGATTTCACGCGGAAGCACTTTTTGCACCTTTTCTAAGCTTCCCAAATAATTAATCAAGTATTTTCGCAAGATTCTGCCTAACGTTTTTCAAGCTCACCTCAAGCAACGCCGCGGCGCTTCTCTTGTTGTCTCACATTGGAAAGTTTCGTAGACAACGATGTTGATATCAACAGACTAATGGTCGCTTACAAAAGTATACAGCGATGTCGATTGACGTGAAACCTTTTTCAGAACTAGATCATCTCCTCCTTTCACCGCAGACACGACAGTTATAAATCATTATCAACATCTTTGTATCAATGCTGTTCGATTAATTATAATCTAAATACGCTCGGCGGAAAGCGACGTACAATTTTAATACTTTCTACGGTGAAAGGATTCGCAATGTTCAATAATGTTCAAACGCTAAATTAACTCGGCGAACGCGTCAAAAACGTTCCGATATAATCCTTTACGGCCTCTTATTCGTGCGAAAACATTCTTATCAGACGCGGCCTTTCACCGCGGAAACGAAAAAGATGGCCGAATCGAGTCAACTAATCATCGTGCGTTATAAATGGGCGGGTTTAAATACGAGAAATGAAATTAATCGGAAAGTGCGCCGACTATTGACGTGTAATCGATAACGGAAACCGGAAATGTACAGTCGTATCTCCGACAAGCGACGATAAAGTTTAATCTTTCTTTCCACTGTTCTCGATCGCAATTTTAAAAGCACTCTGCAATCGTCGAATAAATTATGAGAATTCGATAAACAGGCGTCTATTTATTTGCGAACAAGAGACAATGAGAGATTGCGTTATGGAGCCGGTAATAAGCGTGTATAATATTTTGATTATGGGCGAAACGACGAGAAAGTTTGATTTCCTTTCTCGTGTCCTAAGATTCTTTCACGGAGCTCGCCGACAACAATAGTATCGTCAGTCTATTCAAGTATCGACCGAAAAAAAGATTGAACTATTCGATTCCATCACTTCGGAATAACATGCAGTTTTTACGAACCCACCGCGGGCGCGCGCGCGTCATCAAATATCTTATAATAAATCCAATTACTTCTGAGAAATGACTCATGTAATTACTCGCTTGTGTATATAATAAAAGAAAAAGTTGCAATAATTACAATATCTGTGATTATTTATGAAATCTAAAATTATAGAATGAAATAAGTTGTAGTTATTTCTTTTTCTCGCCGTACTCATTTTTCAACCTTATTAAACAATTGAATTTTTTCAAAGTAAACAGCATCACTGTTCGATCGAGTTTTGTCGCGCATTGCATAAGTTTGATAACAGCAAGCTGCAAACAATTTTCGTTCGCCGATCGAAGGTCAAAGTGCGGGAAGCGCGGTATACAACAAGATGATGTAAGCGTATTAAACTCCGATCAAACAAGTGTCGCGCGAATCACGATAAGTGTTATCTTATCTAAGTGGACACAATCGCACGATTGTAATCTAAGTATAAATCGCATCAGGACAAATAGAATCATTAGATCGAGATTGTATTTTCCAAGTTTTCGTATCTCGATCGTAAAACTCACGGCGAAATTGTTATCCATGAAACTATCGGGAACCGTCGCGAAGGCGCAGCGATCGATGTGCGATGTGTATGGAAAACAGAGGGTGTCTCATGGCAACCTATCAAGCAGGGTTTCGCCCTTCGGGGGGTGATTAACCTTTCGATTTCAAAGACAGCCAGCCACGGTTGGGGTTACTTTTATTCCTTTTATATTTTTTCTTACAAAACTAGGAAATCGGCAACGAGCACGCCCTCGCTGCTCGTGCGACGCAGCATCGCTTTTCCCGGCGCGCGTCTGTAATGCGCCGATTAATCATCTGTCACTACCGCGAGCGCTCAAGTCGGTCGGCGGGCCGCGGCATTATTTGCGCCCCACATAATCCCATTTTTCTGGCGAACGCAACTCGATGCTGCATGCGCGAGTGCCCCGAGCGTGGATCATAAATATGCGACGACCGTCGTTTCCTTCCCGGCGATATTTAGCCACGCCGGGGTTTCGAAAGGAAAGAACAACCAGAACGCGACCGGCGATGGCGCGAGTCGCTCGCATAAATCATCCCGCGCGCTTTATTTATTTTGCCCCGCGCTCTATTATGCTCGCACGACTGCATTAATAGCGTACGCGCGTACGCGAATTACTTATTCACGAGAGCGACGATAATCGCGCGATTAATCGCTGGCCTTCGTACGAACTCGCGGCGCTGTTCTTCTCTACGCGCGCTTCGCATTTCCTCCTTCAATATTTATAGATTTCTTCTGTAAATTGTGCGCTCACGCTCTTTTCATGGCGTTGCGACGCACAGGCTACTTGATGCTCGTCGCGAATGAATCCACCGAGCTCCGCTGCGCAGACTCCGCGATCTAAAATACTCCCGCCGATCAATATCCATAAAACTCGCGTTTCTGATGTTAATGCATTTTCTCGCGTCGCACATTCGGAGTGTTAAATACGCTCATGGAATTCTCATCCCGCGTTTGCATCGTATTAAAATTTTCCCGTTAATTCAAACACCTGAGAATGAAGATTAATCGCGAACGAAATCTAAAAAGCTTAGCTTCCGATGTAAATCATCTCATTTCGAGGCGACGTATGTAAATCATTATGCCTCGTCCGTGTGATAGTTCAGAAGTGTCTTACAATTAGCGATCGAACAAATTTTCGCCGGCCGGTCGGACAGAAATTAATGAAACATAACAGTAAGTTGCACTCGTGGCGATAAAATTTAATCGCGCGTAACTGCCGTTTATCACGCAGTTAAACCTCTCTCTCTCTCTCTGTCTTTTACCGGCGCACTGTAATAATCGCAAGTTCAAGAGTCCATGCGAGCACAATTATGCGCCGTCGGCGAGACGTCCCGCGGCAAGTCGTGGACGGAAGGACGGTCTGCTGATTTCTTTTTTCATTATAAACATGCAATATTGTATTAATAAGAAACATTGAGGTATATCGAGTCGGTCTTGGAAAACATTGGCTGTACTTCGTATTGTTATTTCTGTCTTTCGCGTCAGACATCTGAGACGCTACGGCGAAGATGCAACCGCGAAGGAATACCTTCAACAGCCGACATGCTTTGCACGTTTTCCACACAGGGCGCCCATGAACGCAACGGGTGCGCGTGTTGCGCGACAAATCGATGAGTCACGCTGTCTCGACTGCGGTTCGTTCTGTCAGTTCGTGTAACAGGCAGAAATATAATTTTTCATACTTCGAAAGCCGAAAGGGATCAATATCGGATACACGTGGAATTATTCGCGAAACATATCGACGCGATCGCCGCGCGACTTCACCTCGCGTGACATTTCTCACGTAAACGCGACCGTTCGTGCATGTTTTTTTTTTTTTCAACGATAATTTCGATCGCGTTCACGCGAGGAGCGATTATTTGCAGCGAACTTTGCTCACGCCGCGTTTCGCTCACGTTGCTCCCGAATCGTTCGTTCATTCTCGAGCGCGCGGCTCGGCGCAGCCTCATCGATCCGTCGGGCGTCTCGAGGTCAACCTCGAAAGCGTACTCTCGCGTAATTTCGACGCCCGCCAGTATCTGCGCATCCTTGGCGAGGCGGCTGCGGCCTTGACACCAAGGGCTCACCGAAGCGGCACCTCCGACGAGCTCTCGAACCGTCGATGTTTATCGCCGCTCGTCAGCGGATACAAATATTTAATACAGAAATACCCCGACGATAAACATCGATGGCGAGTTTGGCGGACGGCGGTACGCGCGCGAATGAAGAAGGAGCCGAAATTTACCCTGAAGCATGTTGTGGTCGGCGTCGTCGTCCGCGTGGAAGCGGACGCCGCCGATGGAGGAGGACAGCAGGCTCATTTTCTCCGGACGTCGAGATGCGTCCGCGTCCTCGATAACGGCCGAGCGGCACCGAGAAGCACGAGGGCCGTCCGGCCCGGTGCGCTTGCGGATTGCTTATTGGCACGCGTTCGCAATGCGGCCGCGAGCGAGCCAATCGACGAGCCGGGGGACCTCGGGACCGGGGCCTCACGGGGCCTCGAGAGTGCTGCTCAGGAGGAGCCGCCGGCCATGAGCCGTCGCGACTTCGAAACTTCGTCACTTTCTCCCGGCGACAGCGGCTGATTCTCTCGATCCGCCGACCTACGGCGGCGCGCTCCTCGTTGCCAGGATCGCCTCGATCGTCCCGGGGGTTTCCGCGGACCAGACGGCCACCGGACTCGTCGACGCGCGATCTTTCACGCCGAACTCGGCGGCTTCTTCGTGCGCCAACGACGCGACTTTGACAATTCGCACACACGCTCACTCTCCGGCGTTGTCACAATGCGGCTGACTGGCACCGCTGGCAGGCACTGCCCCGCGAGTTTCGTCCGGACGAATAGCGAGCGTCCGCACGCACGTCCCGCACCGCGTTTTACCGTGAAACCACGACAGCGCATGACGCGCGACGGCCGACCAGCGATCAATAACAACCGCCACTGTCCACCGCCGTCGCCGCCGCCGCCGCCGCCGCCGCAGAGCGTCTGCGCTATATCGCACTGTATCTCCTTGCAAATGTAAAAGTGAGGAAACAAGACGTTGACGTTTGGCTGCCGTGGCCATTAATAACCGGTGGCCGATCGCCTCCGTGTCGAAATGCCTATGCACGCGGATTTATTTCCAACGATTTCTCAAATGACCGCGCATAAATCCGCGGAAGTAGGCTGTTTGCATTTATTCCCGTTCTCGTTTCCTTCAAGGATTTGTATAGATTACGGCTTAGTCGATGCAATAAATAACATCCGTCATAGTGAAGTAAGTTGAGATAAAAATGTAGGTGAGCGCTGAGCGTTTATGCATTCGTGCCGCCGGTGTTAATAATATTATTACATTATGGCGTAATTAACGGCGCTGTGCTACTTTATTCACATATCGCGCATGTAACACCGGCGTCTATGTAACTCGCGCGAATCTCGTTACTTTTGAATTATTCGTCCTGTCACGCTTTGACTCCCGCAAGGCGCGTAAATGTGCAATCAGAGATCGGAGAAAGTCCAGTTATCATTACGTTTACAATGCTTTTCGCACGATATGCAATTAATACAACGCGTGTATATCATGCGTGTTGTATAATTTACGTTGGTCTCCGTTTCTTTGCTCCCGCGCTTAATGCGCTGCGTTGCATCATAACGTATCGTTACTGCTATCAACTTACAATTACGGTATAAAGTAACTGAGAATCCGAAGACGCTTGATTTATTAATTTGCCGCTAATTGCACGCAAACCTATCCGGAGAATCTGTCATCAGAGAGACGAGTGTGGTTTCGCATATCTTCAGATTCCACTATAATGCGGAGGAAGAAAATTTTAACGGAGCGTGCTGGAAATAACTTAACAAATCGGCAGTTTTCGTCGTGACATCAACAGTTTCATTCGTGTTTCCAGCCGGGTGGCATTCATTATATGCTGACATCGGCGCGCCTGCACTTTCCGCGTGCATTCATGCGCGCATGCACAGCGCGAGAGCGTATCCGTCGCGACCGGGAATAATTCACCTGTCCCGTTATGCTAAACGGGATAAACGTCTCATCGTACTGTGGTGCTGAAGTAAAAAGACGTATCCATTTCATTATTTTTCCACATTAACATTTCGCTGATTGTGGAAGTACAACGCGTCTCTGAGATACGATCTTATTAGCGTTTCAAACCAGTCAAAAATTTTCAGCTCCCGAGCTTACGTTCGGACATACAAAAGATTCCAATCTTTTGTCTCAATCGAGACGAAAGCTTTGTAATTTCTCACAAAAATTACTCAATTTATTTATCTTCAATCGAGTGTTGAGGCTGCTTTCTTGATATTTTATAACAAAGTGCTTGGAAAGTTTCACGAAGCGTTAATTAGTAAACAGTCGACAAATTGGATTTTCCTACGCGATTCTCGTATGCGTACGTCTTAAAATCGGCTTTCCAACTCGCTAAGCGACGTCGACGTAGTAGGTGCAATTTTAACGGTTCTATCTACAGCTTGCTTAATAAGATAACCCGCGAGTTATCGCGAACTATCTGGTGATTAACTGCGCGGTCTATAAATAATTAGCGATCGTCGTCCCGCGTGCGCGAGAATGTTCGCTCGCATGAAACGAGCGCGCGCGAAAAACCCGTCGCGATTCTTTACCTCGCCGCGCTGGACACGGACAGAGAGTAATTAATTACTCCTCTACGAAAACCGGTCCCGAAGACCGATGCAGCGTCATATAACACACGGTATATTAATATTCTTGTGTAAAAAAAAAAAAAAAACGCAGCTTTACGGTCAAACGTGAACTATTTTTAAATATATCATATTCAACTCGTTACTCAACTTGCTCAAGTTTTTTCAACGTCACTATTATCAATAATATAGTATTATTATTATTGCTAATATATAAGCTAATATAGTGAATATCTAATATTCAACTTGAAAATCGACAAGAGCGCGCGATAAAAGAATAAAAAAAATCATTCCAAACTCCAAAGTGAATTTGCCAAATCTCGAGGTTTGGAAAGTGCAATTTCGTATTCCGCGCGTAATAACAGATCGAAGACATTTTTTCGCGAAACGTAGCTTCCTCGTGCGGGAAAAGCGTTTCGGATGTTCTCGAGCCGATCCTGCTCGTGCATCGAGTCCACGGAGAAAGGCGAATTCTTCTAATTACGGTCGGCCTACGGTAGGATGATCCATAATTGGTATGGTCACCCACCCGTCACTGTACATCGACTCCCATCGTCGAAAGTCCAAATTATCATCCCAGTCTAGCCTAATTTCACCGCGGGATATTACGACGTTCCCTCTTCCGGTCAAACGCTGCGAGCTCGCGAACAAACAAGGTTTCTAATCATCTTCGATAAGAGTATCTCGTGGATTCGATTTTACTCCCTACAGCACAGGTGGAAGAAAGGCTTCGCAACCGATGTTTACTACGCTCGACGATCCTTCCGAGATGATTATACGTTTTGTAAATATATATGTTCGATATAATATATATAGACGGGAAAGAGAGTCCCCGAGACTTGTAGGACAGAAAATTTCGAGTCTCCTCGCGGCAATTATTCGCAATTATCACGCTTCTTGCACACAATACACCGTATTAATGACACACGATGAAGCGCAGATGGATAGACAAGGATGTTGTCGGAGAACGCTTCATCATACGAATCGAGCGTACTCCACTTTCGAGATTCTCTCAGGACTCTTAGCCGACTCTTCTCGGACAGAGACGTGACTCGTCTTCGCGAAGATACGAGAGCGCACCGCGGCGCTTCCTGTTATTAGAAGAAATTACTATTCCGATCTAATGCCGCGGCGCGCGAACGCGGAGCCGATTCCTGTTTGCGATCTCTGCGTTCTCAGGATCGGCGCGCGATCAGGACTGCGATAGACGAAAGAGGCACAATGGAATTCCACTTGTGAGAAACCGGTTTATTTGTCTCAGAAATTATACACTACCTCGGGCCAGTAGACATTAGAAACTCGATTAACTCTTTGTGATCCGGCTTAATCTCCGACAAATGACCCAATATTAAGCGTTTCGTCGTTATTGTGATACTATCGAGATAACGATCTAATTATGGAGATTGGAAAAATGTTATTTGTTAATTGTAATTATGCACGAGTCTACCTCGATGGTCTCTAAAGAAAGAATATACTTTCGTCCCTTTTCAAGTAAGAATTTCCGATAAAAGAATCAATTTCGTCGATATATTTCGGTGATCGCCGTAAGTGAATTGTCCGCGGCGAGAGTCGCGGAAAAGTCGGTCTTCCGTTTCTGCGGTTAGAAAATGACGATTTAACAGCGCCGTTCGTCCGATCTATTCGACATATCCACGCGCGGTCACGCGAGCTTTTACCCGCGTGCGCGGCTCCTCGCCTCTCGACGACCTCTCGTCGAGATCATCGCTGGTGAAATTTTTTCGCGACCGAGTGCTGCAAGGAGATCGCGCCGCGGACTTTTAATTCGAGCGGAGAAAACTGCACTTCCGCTTCACCGTTATTCGCAATTCACGAATGCGTGCAATGCGTCGGATTCTTTTGCGGACGATTCCTCCCGATCGGTATGCGAGACTAATCAACGTAGCGAAACTATCTAACAACCCGTTGCGATCCGTGACGCCACGACGTTGTTGTGTCGTCACGCTCGACACTCGCCTATTTATCTGTGCGTTTATCTACTCACTTGAATCGACGTTTCATCTGGAACGTCCTCGACAGATCGGTTTGTACGGTATTACACGACGACAGATGAGGAAGGTGCGATTGAAAATCGCGACGCTTGGCGCTAAGCGGCGTGTCAAGGAATATAGAACTCGCCGCGAAATCTTACAAACTTTATTCACAAGCATTCGTGAATGGTTAAAAAGTCTGAAACGGGGCGAAGCTCTTCTCGCAATGCGCTGATCGTTAGCGAATGAAAGCCGAGTGTTGTTCAAATTGCCAATTACGCATCTCGATACGTCGTAATTCGAGAACTAACCGCAAACAGGCGAGTCATTTGGATTCTATCCGCGTGAATTCATCAGAGAAACTTGATTCGTCGAAGGAAAAGTGGATCTCGAGAAATGACAGACGTATCGGAAGGATCTTTTTCGCAAATTCAAACAACTTTCAAGGCGATTCTCTTATAATAACTAATTTATTGTTCATAAAAATCGCAGTTAAAAGTATGTTATATAAAATTTAGTAATGAATAGCCTGATAGCAGACTAATAATAAGACAAGTGCGATTATACATTCAGATAAAAGTCTTATACTTTTTCGCTCAAACGTGTAATAACACATTTACGAGATATATTTTGTCGTTTGAAAAATACACACGACAGATAATTTTATTATTAACTATATAATTTATTGATTTTAATTAAACGAGATAACGCGCGCGAAGCACCGCTGTTGAAAAAAAATTTCCCCTTTCACGCGCGATAGTAATAGCAAAAATAAGAGTTGTCGATACGGGAAGATACCGGCGTTGGCGTAACAGGACCTTTACGTAATCGCGCGTAAGCGGCATGGTTTTCACGAAGGAGAAAAGTACACATATCCGAGCGACGAGACAGGCGCACACACACATCCATGTGCCGATGTAAGGCGTTACGTTGGATTATGCACGCATAAGAAACGAGACTTCGACCGGCGACGCACACTCGAACGCTAATCTTATCTTACAAAACTTTCATAGTTCTTTCACGTACGTGCGTGGCAACCTCTTCGCGCCCTCGCGAGGGGAAGAAAAAAAGAAAAGGAAAATCCTCTTCTAGCGACTCGTTCGCGTATATTGCATCGCTATGTTTACAGTGAAACTCTTCGCGTACAACAGTCTTCCTGTATTAATCGAAAAGAAAGTTACGAGCTAGACGCGAGTATTAACGGTCGATCCGTTCAATAAATACCTCTGCACGGCGCTTTTTTTTTTTTCATTTCGACGAGATGCTACCGCGTATTTTTCGCAATAAACGCGACTTCTAAACCAAGTAGCAAAAAATGCCCGCACGGGTGGCATAATATATTTTGCAAATACTTTATGCAGCGCCAAGCGTATTTTCATCGGAAAGTATACTCTCATTAACCCAAAATACCACGAAGCGTTTGCGAAGTGATTTAACCGCTTTCGTAACGAATATTGTAGGCGAGCAATATACTCTCACACCTCGCGTAACATTTTAATAATCGTGAGCTCGAAGCTCACTTCATAAACATAACATTTTATAAACTGACTTGGCTTAAAGGTAAACATTCGTAAACACTCGGTCTCACCATTCTTCGTCCAACTGTTAGCATCATGGCAGAGCGTGGACCAGTCGTCCTCCAAGTCCCGGGAAGTCGCCATGGCCGACGACGATCACTCTCAAAGGTAGCCACTCGTCCTCGCGCAACGCTCTCCACACGTGTCCCGCTCTTCGTTCGGCGAGAGGAATTCGCAATCACCGCACACACATCTGTTCCACCTGTCGCGCGGCGAGTTCTCGCTTCGTCGCCGGGCGCGCGCGAATCTGGAGAATCGCCGCTAACTTCATGCGTATGATCGCGCGAGAATTTACGGAAACTGTCTTGTCGCACGACGGAACAATCGTCTCGCGAAATCGGGAATCCGCTCGGAAATTTACGAGATTATTGGCGTAATAGTGCGGTAATCTTTATGGGAATGCATGATAGACATTATGATTGAAACCACCAACTACCGCGCGACACTAGTTCCATACATTCGCACACACACACATACGCAACACATTAGGCGCGAGTTTGTCCACTTCTACTCGTGTTGCGGCTTCTCCTTCGCTCGCGCGCTTCGCCGTCTCTCTCGCTAATCGCTGTGCACGGCCACAGGAGTGTCGATCCTCGCAGTGTTTATTTTTGAAAGCTGTTTACCGTCCGCCTGTCAACGTACGCGTATATACGTGCAGTCGCGACGATGCGAAATGCTTACCAACGTTTACTGACGTAACTTGTTATGAATACTGCCGCATTTGTTGGCTGCACTTCGTTATAGTAAGTTCTCGATTATCGATTAGTAACTTTGATTAATGATCTTTGATTACCTTCACTACATTATTATTATTATTATTATTATTATTATTATTATTATTACCCTATCATAAATCTTTTTCTTCCTTTCCAACATCGTGCAAAAAAGAAATGTAAATAAAATTTTTTATAGTAATGTTAATGATTTGTAATCGTAAATTGTATATCATTCAAAAATTGAAATATTTTATTATATATTTATATAACTAATGACAAGAATATTAAATATGAAATATCAATTTATATCAAATTTTCATTACATATTGATCGCAAAGTTATGTGAAAACATTGCTTTTTCCCTTTTAAGAAGAAAGTATTCAAGAAAAAATTGAAATACTTTTTTTTCTCTAAGCAATGCTTTCAATTATTTGTCAAATTGATTTATCATACACGCACAGTTATAATTGTTGAAAATAAAAAAGCTATCCAGCTTACAACACTTTTAAATAGTAACTATATACTTATCCATATATATTGTTAGTTTCCAATATATTCTATTTATAATATAAAAGTACATTAATATTAAAAAATAAAAACTAAATCTGTATAAATATGAAGACTGTTTATTTATTATTATTATTACTTAAGTTCAAACACAAAGCGATCGAAAACGAGTATACACTCTTTAGAAAAAGTAAGAACGTTATAATTATTCGAATAAGCACTTCTCATAAATAAGTTTCTAACTCTTACGCGTTAAATGACTTAACCGCTATCTTAAAAACCTATTTTTTGTACATTATACTTTTGTACACAGAGTAATGTGTTGCGAATTTCGTTTAGAGATGTCTCTTACAAAAATGCGCGTGAAATGCAATAGAAAGCAGTCTTTCATGTTAAATACTAATATGCATATATATTGATGGCATAAATAATGATGATGAAGATAACGGAAACTCGCGAGAAGATCAGAAGATGAAATGAAAGATGAGCGAAACAAGTATCAGTAAACAATTTTTTGACTGATCACTTCTTACTTGTATAACATTACTTCTCTCGAAAAATTACTGACTGTTATATTTAATTGAAAACTACTAAAATTTTATAATAAATTAAAAAAAAAAAAATTAATAAGAATACGAATACTTTTTTCACTCTTTATATACATAAATAAATGATGCTTTGCAGCGCAGAAAAGTCTCCGAATTCTGCTGCACAAACATCGAACATATTCATGAAGTAAGGCGAACTTCGTCCACGGTCGAAATTAAGTTGTCCAATCCAAATAGAAAACCCTCTTCGTGATTACCTTCCTGCCAGGGACGACGGTGCGAGAGTTTTCGTCCATCCGGCACCCGTCGCGTCTTTGCGAAGTCAATTAGCCAAACGCCCACTTTCTCGTTATCGTAGATCATGAAAATACTACTGCCGATTACCTGAAAGATAAAATAATTTGTATTTTATACAATGTTCGTAATCAAGCGTTGTTCAAGCGTTGCAACAAAGTAGTCTTTATCTAATCAATGTAGAAAAAATTGAATATAACAAATGAGACGTACTTCATGGGTCGCGAAATATTTGGATTCTTCAACCTTGGTTCGCAGGTTCCTGAGGCGCGCGAGGATCTTCTGGCGCGTATCCTCGCGCCTACCGAGGAATTGCCTTATGGTGCTGAGTACTTCCGAGTGCGACTTGACCTTCTTAAGGTCTGTGATCGGCGGCGCGCCTGGCAGTTTCATCGCCTCGATGCGAAAGCCGTGGCTGCAGGTCGAGCTCTGCTGTTCGCGGAACTGCATGTACCGCAATTTCGTCACGGCGCGCTGCTCGTGCTCCAACTCGGTTGGCGCGTCCGGATCGACGGCAATCATCTTCTGGTAGAGATCCGGCCGAGCGGTGATCTTGGACACTTCAGATTCGAGAAAGGTCCGCGTGCCCATCTTGATGTCCATCACGTGAGGATCGCTGAAGCCGAACAACAGATCCTGCAGCTCGATGAACGTGTCGCCCTTGTACTCGACCTCCCTGTAATATCTGCAAGAAGAGATCCACAGTTCAACACTCCACGCTATTATTTTACGCGTCACTTCAGAGGACGAAGGAATTATTTCAAATACCTCGGAATACAATCTCGCAACGCTTCGTCCTTGCTTAGGGTCTCGTAAACGACACGTTCCGTGTTCTCGGTGCCGCCTGCCCTTCTCTTCCAGACGGTGCCGGGCCCGGCGGGCGCGAAGCCATCCGGATGACCGGACAATTGGAACCAGGACTTGAGCCGGTTCTTCAAGAGCACGTCGCTGGCTGGCGCCGTGAGGTCCAGAGCGTTCTGCAACATCGCGCAACGTTGACGTCGTCCTCCAAGCGAAACGAGCACGAGCGAATGAGAGAGAAATTTCAAATACACACCAGAGCGAGGAACTTCAGGGAGAGATCTTCGTCGGGCATGGTCGTGTCGGACAGCACCAGAGGGAATTGTTCCATCTTTCGGATGGTGGCCGGATCATTGGGAAGCTTGGCGAGCGAGTTGGACGATCTGGAACCGGCACTGTTGGAGCGACTGTTGTGGGAACCCATCGAGGTACTCCGTCGCCAGTGACGGAAAGCGCTGTAGGTGCTGCTGCTGCTGCTGCTGTTGTTGTTGTTGCTGCTGCTGCTGCTGCTGCTACTGTTACCGCTGCCGCTGCAGCCGCCGCTGCTGGACCCATCTTTCTGTCGACGGTGGTCCTTGCTAACCGTCGAATCATGATTACTCAATCGCGTCTGCTCCTTGCTCGACGGCTGCAACCAGAGAAGCCTACTAAGAATTTAATCCAATCGGGATACTGCGCTGCGCTACAAGGTACGCGCTGCTTCGAAACTTCAGTCGTCCGTAACTGAGGAATCGACACCGCGCGGATCGTGTCTGATTTGTTTCACCTTTCAAGCGACAATTCCGAGATGATCTAAGGTATCCCGCACAACTTTTGATGGGGGAAAAAAAAATCGTCAGCCGCGTATGCGAAGGCCGTTTATTATTATTCGCGCTAAGTCGCGTCACCCTGTTTTTCGATGCGAATATTCGATTTCGCGATACGCCATTGACATTTTAATCTTCGCGGCAAGGTCCAAACAAGCACGTGTAATTTGGCCGTGGTTCCGACCTCGATCGCATTGAATTTATTTTTCACGCTAAATTTAAAAAGGTGATTAGAATTTCTTCTTAGTATTCCGGATTTTTGTCGTATTTTTCAAAACAAGCGATATTTCAAAATCGTGACTTCGCATATACGACGAGTGATAATAATATCGAGATTTTTAGTCGAATTACTATTTGTTTATATAAGACGACGTGTTTGTGCAGTTGCGATAATATATATGCATGTATCGATGATACGCATCTAGTTAAACGGCGATTATAAATGAATTAATGAAACGTGGAACGAATCGCGGCAACGCATCATCGCAGTCGTTCCGATCGCGTTGTAAGTATATAATAAACGCAGGATAGTTTTATCCGCGGATCTCCATGTTACAAGATCGGGATAAAAAGGACGGAACAAAAAGCGGAAAGTCGTCCGCGATATTAGTAGCGTGACACGCGGCCGCTGATAAGCGTGCCTCGAGAGAACGCGGAAAAAAACTTGAAGAGTACGATCGTTTCGCAAATACGGATCGCGTTGCACGCTACCTATTGACGTCAGTGACTCTTGCAACGCGCTGATTATTGCCGCAGGCTCGGTATTTAGTAGTCGCGGTGTGCACGATTGCCTCAGGGATGATTGAAATATTCGAGGCTCTTAACGAGTTGATGTTTATTTATAAATGCAATAAATTGTATTTTTCCCATTAACATTTTTTTCGCTGATCCCTGTTGTATAACGCAAGACTCACAGCTCGGAGCAAGAAATTACAATAAAAATATCGCTGCATTTCTTTCCGTATACAAAATTATAATGGATAATTTTGTCGCGCATTATCTAAATAACAGATTGTTATTCCACTGAAGATTCCACGAAAGATCTACACTGAATGCTGTAACACTGTAATGTAAAAATTATTGACTGTGGCTCCCTGTAAAAATAGACAGTATACAGTAAAACGGTAAAATATAGTTAAAATATATGGTTGGGAAACAGCGCACAACTATAAATACACCGGTGTTTCGTAGAAAAACAAGTTAATGAATGTACGAATGTTAATGAATGTTAATTGCGCGTAATAACGCCGTCGCGGTCGTGCTAAGCAGTTTCGCCCGTTATATTCGGCCGCGCTGGACACGCATTCGGTTTGTTCGTCTATTCATTGTGTCTCGAATCGCCGTAATCGTCCTTGTGACGACAATAGCCAAGTAAATGGTGATGTTTCACAAAACTGCACTACGTTGTCGCGCTGCCTCGCGCTATCTCTTCCGCAACGCCGCCGCGTATATGCGCTATGCACTTTTACGCACACAGAATATCTGCGTTAAATGACAAGAACGTTGCGTTGCAATCAAATTTTTTCTATTCTCGACAGCCTCGCTTTGTTCTTAAGAGCCTGGGATTCCACGATTCTTCCTTCGCGTTTCTTTTTTCTCACTATTGGCTAATAATCTCGCAATCACGAGCTTGTCGCGAGACGTACACGTACACAGAATCAAAATGATTCACTCGATTTCCGGAAGACGCGATTGCGTCTGTGAGTTTCCGATTTTCGACACTGAATTATCGCCGGCGAGTGAAACGAGATTCGTAGCGCGTTTCACGCGCGGCTCGCTCAAAAAAATGTATCCGCGCTGAAAACTGTGTCACCATGTGCCTCGAGCGATCTCTCTCGCTCCGCGAAATCGTAAGCCATCGCCTCGCCGTTTCTCGTTCGAACTAGGTTGCACGCTCAACCCTTTCAGGCTGCGGTCGACGTATGACGCGTTCCGTCGCCGTCGGATATCCCGGATACGAAACCGACATTCTTCTCTATAATTGATTACGTCCTCCGAGTTAATTACTTCATTAATCGAAACGGCACACTTGCGACCTGCCATGAATCTTCTTGACTTGTTAAAAGTGATATATTTCATCCGTTTGTGTATCTTTTATATCGCATCGGTGGTGAGACACTCCGGCACGTGCACATTAACAAATGCGGCGACTACATAATCGGTGAAGCGCGCGTGTGCGTCACAATAGGAAAATCTATCATTAATTTTTACACGTATCTTATATCAAAGCCCCCTTCCCTGCGCATCACGATTAACCGTTGCATCCGCCTTTCGCGGCGTCGCGAGGCGACGTCGAAATTTCCGCGGGAAAAACGCGGCGAAAGAGAACTTTGAAGTGAGAAAGAAAGTTGGAAAGAGTTTCGAAAGAGCGAGGAGCGCGTATGTCGTCGCTCGAGCGACCTCCTGTTGCATCAATCCGCACCGACCGCATTTCTTTTCAAGAAACTATTACGCACATTAATTAATACATACGCGACAAGATTATGAAAAAAAAAATCTATCGGAGAAGCTGAACGCGCGGGAGAGACATATCTCCTTATCGTGTCAATCGAATGAAAAACGCCAGTCGGTTACGATAATAGAGTAGCTGCGACGCGCACGTTACAGGATGAATGGAAGAAATGAGTCAAACTATTTCGATTCACGCGAATGATTATTACGCCTGCATATATCTTCATTCGCAACACTCTGCACGATGCGTATTCGTTCGTTGAGCGAGATGAAATCGTGGCCACGAACCAGTGGCAAAGTGGGGTGCGTAACAACGGGTCAATGATCTTCCGTTGGAAAGCGGGCAGAGATCGGAATGATTCGATTATTCGGAGCACACGGCACGTTTGTGCCTGCGAATCCCCGTGTTGACTTTAACCGCAAATTTATGCCGCTGCGACGCGAACATCCCGCCCGGTGTATTTTATCAACGTTAGCGACGACGACGCTCGTCGTCGGCTGTACTAATCTAAAGCAAATACACACAGCTGCGTGTATATGCCGTCGTTCACAATAATCTCATATTTCACATTCCATTGATGCTTAATGCGCTGTCGTTTGCCAGATTAGGCGTAACTTTGGAAATGCGAGAGGCGGGGGACGCGTTTTCTAGCGACAGAGACGCTCTTTGCGAGACATAAAAAAAAGGGGGACACGAAGAAGGCGTAGCGAGAGAAGATGCGCTATCCGCCTATGGCGGGGCAGCGTACCTTGTTAAAGTGAGTCTGCAGAAGCCGCTCATACTGATCAACCGCACGCAGGCAGAGCCTCGTGGTGAACGCTTCCATTCGGGCTGGTAGAGGCGCGTGGCACACACTGCTGGACATTATTTATCCGTTTTGAAACGAGCACACCGTCGTCGACGCGGGCACAAGCAATATGCGTAACGAGAAATCTCGGCGACACTCCTGTCGCACACGTATACAGGCGCGCGATACACTCTCGAATTGCGTCCGCTATCACGAAGCAGCGAACCTAACCTAACCTCCATCGAACGCCAGCCGCGAGAGTCGGATCGCCGGCCGAGGCAGTTGGCGAATGCTGCGCGAGGCGTCGCGTACTTCGAGACTAATCCTACACTTGTCGTGCAGGAGCGAGAACGTCGATTGGCGTCCTTTATGCTTTTTGAATCTCTCCTCGCACCGCTGCTCCGCCACAACTCTCTTTCCCTTCTCGCTTCTCTCAAGCGATGTCACGATCTTTCTCCGGTATCGTTCATCGTCTGTCTTCCCTTGTGTCGACTTTCTTCAATTACACAGCCTCGGCTTCCTCCTTCCTGTTTTTATTTCAATCTTGTTTTTCTCTTCCTCGCGCGCGCCCGCCAGTATTGCCGCTTTTGAATGCACTTTACGATTGCTATGCTGTCACGCAACGAGATGGACGCGGCACGATTTTGGGTTACACCAAACCACGTCGCAACGTCGCCGTGAGCACACTGAGTGACAAGAGAGCGCGAATGTAGTTTTATCGGTGCATGCTCCCTCTCTTAATGAAAGATTTAACTGTATCCGTCAGCCGACGTACGACATCCAATAAGAACATTTCTTTTCGGAAACGAATATGGCGCTAAGCAAATTTCCCAGAAAATGCATTTTCCTATTGGATAACAACATCTGCGCATAGGACACGATATGAATTTACCATAATGATTGCAGTCGCCCCCATGTAAAAAGTTCAAGACTCGAGCCATTGGAATATTTGCGATTAGATTTGCGAGATTGCGGGAGAAATAAATTGAAGATCTAAAGATTTTCTACTTCGATCCGATCCTTGTTTTTATGCTGGAAAAAAAATGTGTACGTAAGTGTCTACTATTTGAATATTACTTTGTTCGAGATATAAATTTGCATTTATAGCTTTATGAATACACACAGAAATACTGTTATGCGCATAATCAATCTAGAAATGAGATGTGAGTGAAGAATGGAAGATTAATTATGCGCGTATATTTTTATTTAATATGTACATAAGGTTAAATAGCAAATATATGTAGCTTCAAGAAAAATTAACACAAGAAAAGGATTGAGTATCCTGTAATTAAGCTAGGAAAAAATTAGAACTCGTACGAGAAGAAATAAAAGACGACACAGTCGAGTAAGAAGTAAATATGAATACCTAACCTAATAATTACAATCGCGTAATTGCTTATTCACATTTACGTCAATCTGCGTTTAATTACAGCCACATCTATAGCGTTATTTGCAAGAATTTAAATTTCAGTGGAATCGTTTTTTTTTCTTTTTTTTGCAAGACGTCGACTGAGCGTGGTTTCGCGCGAAATTCGCGTCAATAGACGCGACAACGGACGCGAATTGTTTATGCTTTCCCACGATCCCGCATTGTTTGCTTTTGCTCATAAAAGGTTATTTGCGTTTGACGTGAGTCATCAAACAGAATGTTCGATAGATGATACACTTAATCATCGCTGAATGCACGCGTAACGTTTTATGAACCTGACGCAGGCCAATCATTTGCGGCATTTGCGTGACAATAGCGATAGTTTTTCGGAATTCATGCCGGATACCGCGTACCGTTGATTCATTTCCGGTTTACAATTTACGTTCGCGATACGCAGCAGTGAATCAGGATAGAATTAAAAATCTCATTAAGAATCTCGCGTTCCTCGTACGCGAGGCGTGTCACGCTGAAGCGTGAAACGAAACGATTCGGTCACCGTCCCACATTTTTCTCTTTCTTTTCTCCAAGAGAAATGCTCTTGCTCGCACGATCTATGTTCGCTTGAATATTATCATTCGCACAATTGCCCGCTGATCATCTCTATCGCCGATATTTTTAAACAGATCGCGTGGAAGCAAAACAGCGGACGATCGATGTCGGTCGCTATCTCTCGCGATTCCCGTCATCGGTGGTGCTTTCAATACGCAACTCGCCCGCTCATTGACGTAAGTCGCATTGTCGGGGGGAAAGTCGACGTCGGACTATTTTTTTTTTACAGTCGCTTCATGAATTTTCGGGAGATCGGGAACACGCGCGCGCGCGGACTAACGTCATACGCGTTTCACTCGACTGCGTCCAACTGCGTCTGCATTTCTCGCCTCCGGCGAAGAGAACGCGCCGCGGCATCCGTCTGCCAGGAGGCTGATTCTTATTCCCGGCATCGCGAAAACGTGACAATCGCTTTTAGCGCGAACGGGCGAGCAAGTCGCAAGGGTGATCGACCGCCAACTTATACGGTACGATGCGCGAGAATGAAGTCCGTCGGCTCGTCCCGTGCAATCTCGCGTGTTCTCACGTTTCTCTGGAGGAATGCATTAAGCCTACAACGATGTTTTACGAATATATACATGCGAATTTCATCCGTTAGAAGTTCTTACAGCCACGCGCAAACCGGAATGTTAAGAGAGCGACGTTACGTATAAGATATCGCAGTAGCGATAACTCCGAACGCAAATGTGTATCCGTATTTATGTTTATGAGGCTAATGGCGTCATTTGATACGAGAAATGCATTCGTTACAAATGCAAACTTAAAAAAAGAACAAAGATAGTTCAAAACCATGTACGTAAGATTATAGAAAATACGTCATCCGTATGATATCATTGTATTAAAATATTAATCTTAGACAGAATATTGACTCATGACTGGCGACATGAAAAATTAACACAACTTGCGATGACAGGTTTTTCGAGTCTGCTTTTTGTTAAGATTTTTTTCAATATTTTTTTCATAAAGAATTAATTACTTTTATTTAATATATTTAGGAATATATAAAGTAGAAGGCAAAAATTGAAGCCAATATTCTTAATTCTTTTTTTTTTATTGAAGGACAAAGTTGAGTTGTGAAATCCGAGAGACGTATTTGAGAATCAAGAGGTTTCCTAAAGAGATTTTTTATCAGTCACAATTTGTCAGTGGTAAAAAAACCAATTATAAACACGCCTTGATTACGGAATCATATATCAATTACAAGATTATTCGAAAGAATTTCATGAGTCAATGCAATGTACATATAATTTACGAAACAAGTGTAATCGCTATTCAATAGAATACAGCTGTGACGTATAAAGAGATGTTTGTCATGAAATTCTATTAGAAAGACAGAATGTACAAATAAAAAATATATATATATTCGATTCGAAAATATGCATGCGCGTTTCAAAATTGAAAGAGCGACATATAATCATATATAAGATGACGCGATATATAGGTCGTCACTCGCGGTATTTAACACGCGTTGATACGCTATAGTCTAGTAAAATGCGTATAGATCGAATGGAAAGAAAGTTTCGGCGACGTAACGCAACGTCCCACTCATTTCCTCGCCGAAATTTTTCTTCAACTCGGACATTTCGGCCTGGATAATTTAATAAAGCGTTCCTAACGAAATTACTTCCTCTTAACGTTAATCGAGCGCTTCTCGAATCGCCCTTGGACGAGTGCACGCCCACGCGTGCACTGCCGCCGACAATGATAATAATGTCCGACGTTGACGCAGCGTGTTGCACCGGCAAACGTGCGTTGTGAAAAAAAAAAGATATTTATCAATTCCTTTTTTTCCACGAAACGTCGCCAATTAATTTCATTATCCTTTTTTGCGGATTAAAAAAATATGTATAATAAGGATTGAAGATGTATGCCGATTACGTCAACTGAAATGAGGTATTTTAAATTTTTATTTGCCGAAAATGTCGTTTTTTTTTTACTAAATATTAGCATCCCGAATAATGACGACACATGGAAGATTCATTGTGATGAATCCAAATCTGCATTACAAATTGAATGACGGTTGAATGGTTTAGCATTAGCTAGTAAAATAAAAGATAAAAAGTTTTATGTGTAATAAATTTTTGTATAAATTTAAAAAAAAATAGTATAACTTTATCTAAAACTAAACAACTTTTACTTTTTAAACGGATACTCGAGATTTCTTTTTTTACTTCTTGTATTCTTGTATGTATTTTTAGATATGTTGGATAAGAGTCACGAATATTTTATTAAAAAATTATTCGAAAAAATTATTTTTAAAAATTTGAAAAAAAGCAGACTTGAAAAACCTATAGAGAAAAAAAAAACTTAATCAGATTGACCGGAACTAATCTTATTACGGTCGCGAGTGTCAACCCGATGACGACTGTTTCATAATTAAACGCGATGATAATTACAATATTGCAGTCTAACCCTTATAGATTAGAATGTTGTAAACTTGTTTTTCCTTTTTTTTCTCACCAAGCACGATATATCGAGTAGCGAAGAGGAAGTTCGTAATTTGCGATCTATTGCCGGAAATTATGTGGGTGGCAACCGACCGTAAAACATACGGTATTTCCTCCTGTTTCGATTATTACTTTATCATACATGATGAACTTATCTTCTTTCCTGCCTTCGCCTTCCTCTTGTCTTATCTAATCTAATACGCGATAGAAAAGTGACGCGATAAAGCGTTTCCGCGCAGGAACGTTCGTGTTTCCTTTCGAATTGGAACCGAGGTGCCAAATTTGTCGATGATCACCCGAGACGATGCAATACGCCGATTTTAACGTTCTTGGCCGCGCATCAACAATTTTGTGCGATTAGCAATTTAATGAACCGCGGTTGTTGCATCAAACCGAAAAGCGACATCCGGTAAATCAAAACAGGTTCCCGGAAATGTCCCCGATGTTGCGAATCTGAATTGCGAATCATGCGGATTTAAATTTACCTCTGATTTTTTTTTCTTTC